TCCACTCACCTCAGCCTCCCAATGGCACGGGATTACAGGCTGAGCCACCGAGCCCAGCTAATTATTTATATTTTAAAACACTTGATCTGGCCAGGTTCGGTGGCCCAGTCTGTAACCCCAGAAATATGGGAGGCCAAGGCAAGTGGATTGCCTGAGCCCGCACATTTGAGACCAGCCTGGACAACTTGGCGAGATGCTGTCTCTACAATAAATCAAAAAAATTAGCTAGGTGTCATAGCATGCACCTGTAGTTCCGGCTACTTGGAAGGCTGAGGCGGAAGGATCACCAGAGCCCAGCAGGCTGACGCTGGGGAGGCCGTGAGTGTGCCACTGCACTCCAGTCCGGGGGACCCACTGCACTCCAGCCTGGGCAACAGAGTGAGACTCCAATTCAAGAAAACAAAACAAACGAACAAACAGAAAAAAGACTACTGGATCCGGCTACTGGAACAATCGGGGTATGTGAAAATGTTATTAACTCTAAGCACATACAAATCATATATTTCCAATGAAAAGTCAACATACAAATAGAGGCACATGGATCGATTAGACCCTAGGTTTCAAAGAGTTATCATCATAAAAATAATGCAAAACATCTCACTATTATTTGTACTGATTATATGTTAAGGTGACCCAGATCTTTTTTGAGTTGGAGTCTCATTCTATCACCAAGGCTAGAGTGCACTGGCAAGCTCACAGCCAGCCCAGTGTTGAACCGCCAGGCTCCGGCAATCCATCCGCTTCAGCCTTCCAAGTAGCTGAAACTACATGCACGTGCTACCGTGCCCGGTTAATTTTTTATTTATTGTAGAGATGAGATCTCGCCAAGTTGCCCAGGCTGGTCTGGAACCCACGGGCTCATGCAATCTACTTGCCTTGACCTCCCAAAGTACTGGGATTACAGGCTGAGCCACCGAGCCCAGCCAAGGTAACATTTTCAAGATATAGGTTTGTTGGCAGTTGAGGGAAACTGCCAGGGGAGGGAAGGGCACACCTCATCAACAAGGATACTTGCATAATGAACATTTGTATACCTAACCCTGAATTGTAACCCACATCTTTAAAATAAAAAATAAAGATAAAAGAATCAATTAGGCCAGGCTCGGTGGCTCAGCCTGTAATCCCAGCACTTTGGTAGGCCGAGGCGAGTGGACTGCCTGAGTCCACAGGTTCGAGAACCGCCCAGGCAACTTGGTGAGACCTTGCCTCTACAATAAATCAAAAATTAGCCGGGCGTGGTAGTGCATGCCTGTAGTTCTGGCTACTTGGAAGGCTGAAGCGGAAAGATCACCAAGCCCAGCAGGTCAAGGCTGCGGTAGCCAGGAATGTGCCACTGTACTCCAGTCTGGGCGACACTGAGACTTCAACTTAAAAAAAAAAAAAACATCAATTAGCACATATTGATTGAAAATTAGAAAATATGGATTGCCTGAGCCTGTGGGTTCGAGACCCACCTGGGCAAGCAAGAACTCATCTCCACAATAAATCAAAAATCAGCCGGGCATGGTAACGCGTGCCTATAGTTGCAGCTACTTGGAAGGCTGAGGCGGAAGGATCGTCGGAGCCCAGCAGGTCGAGGCTGCGGTGGCTGGGAGCGGCCACTGCACTCCAGTCTGGGCGACAGAGTGAGACTCCAACTCAAAAAAAGAAAAAAGAAAATTAGGAAATAAAAACATTTAAGTTATAAATTTTTAAAAATTTTTTAAAAAGGCCAGGTGCGGTGGCTCAAGCCTGTAATCCCAGCACTTTGGGAGGCTGAGGTGAGAGGACTGCCTGAGCCCATGGGTTCAAGAACAGCCCGGGCAACTTGGCGAGACCTCATCTGTACAATAAATCAAAAAATTAGCTGGGCGTGGTAGTGCGTGCCTATAGGTCCAGCTACTTGGAAGGCTGAGGAGGAAGGATAGTCGGAGCCCAGCAGGTCGATGCTGGGGTGGCTGTGAGCATGCCACTGCACTCCAGCCTGGGTGACGGAGTGAGACTCCAACACACACACACAAAAAAAATGTTTAGCTATGGTCAGATGCGATAGCTCATGCTTATAATCCCAGCACTTTGGGAGGCTGAGGTGGGAGGATTGCTTGAGCCCAGGGGTTTGAGACCAGTCTGGCCAACACAGCAAAACCTCATCTCTACCCAAAAAAAAGAAAATATTCTAGGTTAAAAAGTTCCATGTCAGGCACAGTTCAGAAGATAAATGATTGTCAAATATTTCTACTCTCAAAGACTTAACATTTCAGCAGGGGGAATGGTCTTATACAAAGTAGAAATGGAACCTGCCCTTGGAGGAGACACAAAGGGTAGGAGAGATGACACATCATCCAGAAATACCAGCTGCTGTCACCAGAGAGCAGACGGCGTGAGGTGGAAGAAAACCGACCACAGGGGTGGCCCCTCCTCGCTCTCCTGGGCCTGCTTGACCCTCCCCCTACCTCCTTGTGGGCAGCCGAGTTGGACTCCCAGAAGCGCTGCACTTTGCTGAAGGTGACGTTTGTGCAGTCGGAGAGGCCGCTCAGGAAGGTGCCCGAGGACTTCTCGGTGAGCGGTAGCTCCGTAGTCTCTTCCTCCATGGCCGCCTCGGGGGCTTCGCTTTTGCCCAGGTGCAGGGAGCCTGACTGCAACTCATTATGTAACTTCACTGCATCCACGGTCAGGTCGCTGTTTCCTGAGAACCAGAGAGAGGCACAAGATCAAGCCCCCACTTCCACCCAAGCCTACTTTGGGTCAAAAGAACAGAATAACTCCTGGAAAACAAACCAGCCCAGCCCAGATCTCCAATCCCTAGGTGCTGAATTCTAACTACCCAATATGCCTAAAACTTAGAAAGCCAAGGAGAAAGGGGAACTCCCCCGCGTGAAGACTGCTGCTTCCCTGTGGTGGGAGTGGGCTGGCAGCTACGAGCCGGGGGACTGGAAGACAAATGAAGGCGAAAGCGCTCGGCGGAGAGCCACCCGAGATTAATTACAGCCACCCAATCCCAACACCGACACCCGCGGCATCCTTCCCCGCTGGGGACATCAGTTTCCGCATCTGTTAAATGGGAAGCGACTAGACTCTAAGCCACGAATGGTCCAAAGCCTGGGCCCCGGACCCCCAGAGGCCCCGGGACCACTCGGACCCCGGCCCGCCAGGGTATCGAGCCGGCTACCTGACGGTCGGCTGAAGAAGCGGCTGCGGGCAGCCTGGCGGTGGCGGCAGATGGCGGGGTTGCTGTCGCTGCTGTGGCCTTTCTTCCAGCGCTTCAACTTAGTCGAGACACCGGACGGCAACTTCCCCGAGCGACCCATGCTGACGACGCCGTGGCGCGGGAGGGAGCTCCCAGGACCGGCTTCCAGACACGCAGAGCGCTGGACCCACGTGGGTACCCCTGCGCCCGCACTTCCGCTTCGCCGGGCGTCACTTCCGGACTCACGTCCGTTGCTAGGGCAAACTTGTCACCGTCCGGTCTGGCGTTTCCGCCCGGCTCCGGAAGGGGGAGCTCCGAGAAGTTCCGTTGCTAGGGAGAGGTAGTGTTGCTAGGGAGTATTGTTGCTAGGGCTTCGCGGCGGCTGCAGCTGCAAGCTGGCGATGCTGCTCCACAGAAGCCGGCTTCCTCCCACGGGGGTTTTTTACAAGTTAAAAAAGAAAAAAGAAAAAAAAAAAGCAACCTTATTCAGATTACTTATGAAAATCTAATTTCAACAAATGCACAAGGAAGTGTCAAAACTTGTCGAGGCTTGAAAGAATGAGCCTAAGCCGGGCTCGGTGGTTTAGCCTGTCATCCCGCGCCCTTGGGAGGCTGAGGTGAGTGGATGGCCTGAGTCCGCGGGTTCGAGACCCGCCTGGGCAACTTGGTGAGACCTCATCTCTACAATAAATCAAAAATGAGCCGGGCGTGGTAGCGCGCGCCTGTAGTTCCAGCTACCTGGAAGGCTGAGGCGGAAGCATCGCCGGAGCCCAGCAGGTCGAGGCTGCGGTGGCCGGGAGCGGCCACGGCACTCCAGTCTGGGTGACAGAGTGAGACTCTGACTCAAAGGAAGGAAGGAAGGAAGGAAGGAAGGAAGGAAGGAAAAGCCTGGCACGGGTGCTCACACCCATAATTGCAGTACTTTGGGAGGCCGAGGCGAAAGGATTGCCTGAGATCAGGAGTTCAAGACCAGCCTGGGCAATTCGGTGAGTCTTCGTCTCTACAATAAATAAAAAATGTAAGGCTGAGCACGGTGGGTCACACCTATAATCCCAGCACTTTGGGAGGCCGAAGTGAGAGGATTGTCTGAGCTCATGGGTTCAAGACCAGCCCAAGCCAGGCTCAGTGGCTCAGCCTGTAATCCTGCACCTTGGGAGGCTGAGGTGAGTGGATTGCCTGAGCCTGCGGGCTCGAGACCCGCCTGGGCAAGCGAGAACTCATCTCAACAATAAAAATTTTAAAAATCAGCTGGGCGTGGTATCGCGCGCCTATAGTTCCAGCTACTTGGAAGGCTGAGGCAGAAGGATCGCTGGAGCCCAGAGGTGGAGGCTGTGGTACAGCCACTGCACTCCAGTCTGGGCGACAGACTGAGACTCCAACTGAAAAAAACAAAAAACAAAAAAAGAGTGAGCAGAAGGCAGCCGGGTGTGACAGCTCATTCCTAATCCCAGCATTTTGGGAGGCCAAGACAAGAGGATTGCTTGAGCCCAGGAGTTCGAGACTGGCTTGGGCAACATAGATGCTGTCTCTACAAAAAGAAAAAAAAATTAGCTGGTAGGGTGGTGCACACCTGTATTCCCAGCTACTTGGAAGGCCGAGGTGAAACGATCACCTGAGCCCTGCAAGTCAAGGCTGCAGTGAGCCGTGATTGTGCCACGTCACTGCAATCCAGCCTGGGTGACTGAGTGAGACCCTGACTCAAAAAATATATCTATATACAAGAAAATGTTCAGTTTCATTATTCACCACAGAAATGCAGATTTGAACCAAATGAAATGTCACCACACACCTACCAGAATGGCTAAAATTAAAAACACTGGCAGCACTAATGTTGGTAAGGACGTGCAGAAATCAGCCACACATGCTGATCCTGCGGTTATAAACTAACATAACCGCTTTGGAAAGCCATGTGGTAGTATCTGCTAAAACAGAGCATGGCCCTGGGCGCGGTGGCTCACTCCTGTCGTCCTAGTTCTTGGGAGGATGAGGCGAGAGCACTGCCTGAGCCCAGGAAGTCAAGACCAGTCTGGGCAATATGGCAAGACCTCGTCTCTACAATAAGTCAAAAACTTAGCTCGTCGTGATGGTGCGTGCCTGTAATCCCAACTGCTTAGGAAGAATCACCTGAGCCCATCTCTGCACCTGAGTTCCAGAATGCAGTGAGATATGAGAGTGAGACCCAGACGCAGGGAAAAAAAAAAAAAAAAATATATATATATATATATATACATATATATATATATACATATATATATATGTATCACCTATGTAATGCTTTATTCAGCTGTGCGCTTATAATCTGTCTACTTTCTACCCATATGCCATACGGCAGGGGTTTACTAAAAATAAAAAGTGGTCCTTGGCTGGGCTCGGTGGCTCAGCCTGTAATCCCGCGCTTTGGGAGGCCGGGGAGAGTAGATTGCCTAAGCCCACAGGTTCGAGACCAGCCCGGCCAACTTGGCAAGACCTCATCTCTACAATAAATCAAAAATTAGCCGTGTGTGGTGGCGCGTGCCTGTAGTTCTAGCTACTTTGAAGGCTGAGGGGGAAGGATCGCCGGAGCCCAGCAGATCGACACTGGGGTGGCCATGAGCGTGCCACTGCACTCCAGTCTGGGCGACAGAGTAAGACTCCAACTCAAAAAAAATTAATAAGCTGGGCTTGGTGTCTCAGCCTGTAATCCCAGTGCTTTGGGAGACCGAGGTGAGTGGATTGCCTGAGCCTGTGGGTTCGAGTCCCGCCTGGGCAACTTGGTGAGACCTCATCTCTACAATAAATCAAATTTCAGCCGGGCATGGTAGCGCATGCCTGTAATTCTGGCTACTCGGAAGGCTGAGGTGGCAGGATTGCCAGAGCCCAGCAGGTCGAGGCTGCGGTGGCCGGGAGCGGCCACTGCACTCCAGTCTGGGTGACAGAGCGAGACTCCAACTCAAAAAAAAAAAAAAATCAAAAATTAGTCGGGCATGGTAGTGCGTGCCCGTAGTTCCAGCTACTCGGAAGGCTGAGGCGAAGGATTGCCAGAGCCCAGCAGGTCGAGGCTACGGTGGCCGGGAGTGGCCACTGCACTCCAGTCTGGGCGACAGAGTGAGACTCTAACTCAAAGAAATAAAAAATAAAAATAAATAAATAAATAAGCCACTGTAGAGAAGACAGAAGCCAGCAGGGACTCTGGGCCCCACCCCTCCGACCTTTGGAGAAATGTCACCACCCTCCTGTGGGGTCCAGTTCCTGTCACACAGGTTGAGACTTGGGCGGGAAGGCTGAGAAAAGGGAACTGGTGGCCGGGAGGGAGCAAGAGGAAGCAGGGTGCGGAAACTGTTGCAAGTAAGCTGTGCTCACCACCATAATCCAGGCCCCAGCCATTACTGCTGAAAGGAGGCAGAGAGGGTGTTGAGTCCAAGGCTAGAGTGATGTTCCTTGTAACACTGAGCAAGGGATTTCACTTGTGTCTCCGTTTCATATGCTTATTTATTTATGTATTTTTTGAGTCAAGAGTCTCATTCCGTCGCCCAGGCTGGAGCGCAGTGGCCACTCCCGGCCACCACAGCCTCGACCTGCCGGGCTCAGGCGATCCTTCTGCCTCAGCCTTCCAAGGAGCTGGAACCACAGGCATGCGCCACCACACCTAGCTAATTTTTTGATTTGTTGTAGAGACGAGGTCTCACCAAGTTGCCCGGGCAGGTCTTGAACCCTTGAGCTCAGGCAATCAATCCTCTTGTTTCCATCTCCCAAAGTGCTAGGATTACAGGCATGAGCCACCACGCCCAGCCCTGTTTCATATTCTTTAAAGTCGTGATACTAATACTGAACCCGCTGACAGCTGTGAGGATTTAATATGAAAGTGTGGAGCCAGGCACAGTGGCTCATGCCTATAATCCCTGCACTTTGGGGGGCGGATGTGAGAAGATTGCCTGAGTCCAGGGGTTCGAGACCAGCCTGGGCAACTTGGTGAGACCTCGTCTGTACAAGAAATCAAAAAATTAGTCAGGCATGGTGGCGTGCACCTGTGTTTCCAGCTACTTAGAAGGCTAAGGCAGAAGAATCGCCTGAGCCCGGCAGGTCGAGGCTGCAGTGGTGGTGAGCGTGCCACTGCACTCCCAGCCTGGGCAACAGAGTGAGACTCTGACTCAAAAAACAAAACAAAACAAAAACAAATACAAGCCACGGAGAGAGGCTGTGAAGAAATCCAGCCTGCCGACACCTGGACTCAACCTGTGGCCTCTAGAACTTGAGAAAGTAGTTGTTGTGTAAACCAAAAAAAAAAGGGCCCCCACTTGCCATGTGACCTCGAGCAAGTCACCTGACTCTCTGGGCCTCTGTTTTCCACTCCTGTAAAATAGAAGTGATGGGAGTGCCTGTCCATATGGTTGACGGGAACTCAATGATGCAGTGTCTGCCCGGTGCTGAGCAACTTGTGCACGATCACTGTTATTATTTTCCAACAAACTCCTCTCAGGTTCCCAAATACCTTCTCGTCTAGGATCTAGGTGAGGAGAGCAGAACAGCTGTCCTTGTTTCACAGGTGGGAAACATAGCTCTGAGGGCTCAGGGACATTCCCAAGGTCACACCGCTGCCCAAGGAGCAGAAGTCACCTCTCCCAGGAGTGCCGATGTCGCCACTGCTCGTGAAACTGCAAGGCCCAGCCGGGCACAGTAGATCGCATCTGTAATCCCAGCGCTTTTAGGGGGCGGAGGCGAGAGGATTGCCAGAGCCCAGGGGTTTGAGACCAGCCTGGGCAATATACGGCAAGACCTCAACTCTACAATAAATAAAAAAATCAGCTGGGCATGGTGGCACGTGCCTGTGGTTCCAGCTACTCGAATGGCCGAGGCAGGAGGATCGCGGGAGCCCAGCAGGTCGAGGCTGCGGTGGCTGTGAGCGTGCCGCTGCACTCCAGCCTGGGTGACAGAGTGAGATGCAAACTCAAAAAATAAAACAAAACAAAGAGAAAGTACAAGGTGGAGGGAACAGAGCTGCCATGCCCCATGATCTCAGACCACGGGAACAGGGAGACCACTTGTCGGTCGGCGGGGTTGTCATCTATTGTGACACTGGGCAGGAAGTAAGGGAAATGGAGGGTTAACCTCTTGCCCCAAACAGAGAGGAAGCAGATGGTCGGTGTTTAACCTAGGGCCCTGAGCCCCGTGACCCACATGGGGCAGTTGCGGCCGCCTTGGGCCCTCCAACTGCCAGGGCTGTGGTCAAGCCCTGGCCTTGGCCTTAGGAAGCCCGGTGCCCGTTCATGCCCA